GTCGCGACTCGCGAGATGGTCGCGACTCGCGAGGATGTCGCGACTCGCGAGTCCAAAAGAGCCGAAAGACGAGTTCCGCGAGACGAGTCGCGACTCGCGAGTCTGTATCGCGACTCGCGAGACATGTCGCGACTCGCGAGTCATGTCGCGAGTTTCCCCAGAAAATAAAGATTTTTGATGACGCGCGACTCGCGAGATGTCGCGACTCGCGACCCGAAGTAAAGTGAAAGTCGCGACTCGCGACTTATGTCGCGACTCGCGACTTACGCGGCGCGATTTTCGAGGTCGGGATTTTAAGTTCAGAATTTCGACCTAGACATGATTATTCACCTTCAAGACCTTGTTTTGACATTATTCTCTCTAGAAAACTCGTTCTTTTCATTACTTTACCTTTGATTCGTATTGGAGATTGTAAAACTCCTATTTACTGCTTTGGATTTGGATGCTTGTGGATTTCAACATTGGGATTATCTATTTTAATCGTAAGTTCTTATTTTCTTCAATTGTTGAGTTGATGATGATGGCTTGGGTTAATTTGATTGTTCTTGTTCAATTCCACATGAGTAGCTAAATCCATACGCTAGGGATAGGGGATGATTGATTAGGTTCGATAATAATTGCTAGTTCTTGATTGCTTATATCTATTCAAGTTATGCTTAATCTAGGGTTAATAGATTGATCACCTGTTTAACCTAACTAATCAACGTGTGGAACCGAGAGGGGAGACGTTGGTCGATATAGGCTTGTTTAGAGTAGACTTGTTCGTAACTGTATTGTCTATGCGTTGCGGGAACTGATAGTTAATCGTTTACATCCACTCTCTTGTTCGTAACTGTATTGAGAGTGAACCTCTGAACGAGAAGCGATTCAGGTCCTTAAACCGAGCAGTTGATTGCCGGTAGCTGTGGTAGAACCGAAGCAATTATCCCCGATTCCCTAGCTCTTTAATCATTGCGTGAAAACCTCTGCTATTTTAATTGCTTTTTATTAGCTCAGTTCTTAGTTGATAATCAAAACCAAACCAATTTGAATAGAGTGTTTAGGAATTTTTCTTCTCTTTTTCGTGATTGAATAATCGTGCAATTGAATCCGGCTAACCTTCCTTGCGATACGACCCGGTGTTGAATCTTTCGATTCTACTCCGGTAAAAATACTTACAACAGGGAATTTTTCCGGGGAAGAGCCTCCGATACTTAAGTAAGTATGTGTGTATGTTTGAGTACAATAATAGAAATCGTGTTTAGGAAGAAAGGCTCTCCCCTACTTATATAGGGGTGAGATACCTGACCTAAAGGCTGCCCGGATTTGGTGAGCTGGCTGCCCCAGCTACCCGTCCGTATTCTGACACGCCTCGCGCATGTCAGAGGCGGTTGTCGCTATCAACCAATGCATTCTCGCCACGTGTCCTCTGCACATGGGATAATTATTCCTCTGAACATTCCCCTGAAATTCCGTTAGAGGCTCTTACATGCACCTATGACTAGGCTGACCTCTAGAATACTGTCCGTCCATAAAGTGGTCGATTTATTGAGGTCGACTCGACTGCTCGACTGGTCGGTCCTTCGACTGCTCGTGATACGCTGCCCTAGAGTCTTCCAGGTCTTATCTTCAAGGTGTTAAACCATCATCATCTTGCTCGATGCCACTAGATAAGTTTGGCTTTCCTCGCCGTACAATCCTTTGATCGGTTCAGTAGACCGGTTTACCCTTGCGGGTATAATATACCATATCATCTAGTCCCCCCACTTTGGTCGAGTCTGAATGACTCGATCTAAGAGTGAATTCGTGCTCGCCTTTTTCCTGGGTAATATTATATCAGATATCGACCATCTGGTGAGTTTCCCGTTATTTCCTCAATTATTTTCCTTTTAGCCGTCAGAAATAAAGTTGCCTGCCATGCGTCCTCTCCGCCGCGCCTGCACATCTGCCACATGTCGCATCAATTGCGTCTGACAAGCACTTTAATTATTGCACCCCCTCGCGTCCTGCACTTCCTTCTTTTGGCTTAAGAAACTTCCTCGTGAGGTCTCGACCCCACCTCCTAACCCTCATTTCGACCAACAGATTCTTGTTTGGAATTCCAAGCCCGTTGCGTTGAAAGTTCTTCTTAAAGAAGACAACCTTCTCCACTACTGCGACCTTCTCACCCGCAAAACCTTCTCTCCACCGGACAAAGAAATTCTTGATCTGATTAAGATTAAGAATGATTCAGGTAATTTTCGACCAGTTTCTCAAGTATTCATATATTCCTTTGTTTCTGTACGAGTATGTATTTTTTATATTGACTTTAATTTTTTCTATTGTCTTCTTGCAGAGGTGCCCAACTTCCAAATTCCTCCAAGGAAGACTCCTCTCAAGAAAA